TTGACCTTTAGTGCTCGGTGGAGTGTGGTCTCCATGGCAACGGCGTGGAGGATCCGCCTCCCAGGAGGCCGAACATCTCCATGGTGTCGTCGGACATGGGCCTGGTCAGCATGGTGCGCCAGGGCATCCTGGCCCTGCAGCTGCTGCCTCCCAACTCCAGCGCCGGTAGCTTGGCCTCCCTCACTGCCTTTCTTGCTGTTGCGAGTGCGTCGCACCAGCCTGACCCGCCCACTCGTGTTTCAGGCATCATCATCATCACGGACGGCGTGATGAGCGTCCCCGATGTCGTCGTGTGTGAGACGCTGCTGAACCAGCTGAGGAGCGGGACCATCACATGCTCCTTTGTGCAGGTTCTCACTCCGGCTGCTGCCTTCGTCCTGAATTACTGCACTTGCGACCGCAACCTCACTCTCTGTACAATGCTGTGGGATGGTTGGGCGCGCGGCCATTTAGGTGGGCGGGCCGTACTCGTACGACTGCAGCTTCGGCTACATCCCCAACGTGGAACTGATGAAGTTCATCTCGGTGGCCACCTTCGGGTCCTACCTGCCCAGCTGTCCTCCGCTGGACCTGGACAGCCACAACATGAACGCCTACCACAAGGCCTTCCTCACCTATTCCTTCCTCAAGACCCCCGAAGCCATCAACTCGGACATCTTAAGCGGTGGGTCAGACCATTCTTCACACCCTCTTCAAATTTCTTCTTATTGACCCCTTTTTAACAACTTTTTCCATGTACGCCTTTTTAATGGTAGAAATATGACTTTTTGTGTATGATTGCAGCTTTGTGTAAGATTACATTTTTTTTCCTCCTTTCTTGGATAATGACAATGTTTTCATAAGAGTACCCGGCAACAACCTTTTGTTCATGTTCGGTTCCTCCTTTCTTGGATGTTTGGTGTTTTGCAGTGTCTCAGCACAAACTGTTCAACGAGCACCTGGTGTCGGCCAGCGGAAACCCGGCACTGGCGATGCGCAGGAAGAAGCACACGGAAAAGGACGTGCACGCTCACCTAATCAGCGTGGTGTCTGTCAGGCTCAGGGAGGGCTACACCATCCGGGAAATCAGCCTCACCAAAGGTTGTCCGAGAAAGTCCTTTGCTCATAACGTTGTTTTTTTTCCCCATCATAAATGTAAAATTCCGTTCGTCTCATCAACTGAATTTTATGATGACAAACTTTTTCCTCATAAAGTCACAACTTCTTTTGTACTCCACTTTTTTGCTCTTGTGAAATTTAGATTTTTTTTTCTTATACAATTCAGATTTTTTTATGATTACACGTGTTTTCCCCATGACTCTTTTTCTCATCAAACATTTTTTTTTT